TAATGTGAATATGAATGAGATTACTGTACTAGCCTTTGTACTATAAGTGATGGTGGTAGTAGTAGTAGTAGTAGTAGTAGTAGTGGTGGTGGTGCTAGTAGCAGTAGTAGTGGCAGTCAACATGCATCACACTCGTTTACTGTACATTTCATAAATGCTTCGTTTGCTTCGCAGTCTTCGGTAACAGCTAAAATGGTTGATCCAGTCTTCTGAAACAGCCAAAACGGTGGATCCTTGAGGGGGGGGTAGCTTATATATATATATATATATGGAGAGAGAGAGAGAGAGAGCTCCTTTTGAATACTGGTGAGTGTGATTAGGGGATGCCAGCAATTAAGCTGATTGAGTACAGGAATTTGGAAAGGGCACCCCAGCTACGCCTGAACGAGGATTCTCAGGCTGTCGTTTCTTGCTGTGGCAGGCAGCTTTCGGGCTCAGGGTTTAGGATTGCAGTGGTCTTAAAGACTCAACTTCGGGTTTAGGGTTTAGGGTTTAGGACTTAGGGTTTAGGGATTAGGGATACAACCTGCATCAGTGTGATTGGGTTTAGGGTCAAGTTTAGGGTTTAGGGTCTGGAGGGCAGCGGTTTCGGGTTCCCCGAAACGCTGGACCGCAGACCCATCTCAAGTCGGAAGCAGCAAACGGCAAACCGCATGTTGCCTAACTTACATCGTAAATGCTAGGCTTTCGAAACCTACAATAATACCCGAAACATCCCTCAACAAAAACACATGAGCACAGTCATGTTTAACCCTGAATCGTCAAATCTATGCGCAACCCGCAAGCCCCGCACCTGCAACTCCGCGACCCCTCCTACGTGCCTACAGACAGACCCTGAAGTGTCGCATCTTGTTCTGCTTGCCATAGCTTCTTAAAGTTTGAGGCTATCCAAAATGGGCATTTTATAGGGTCTAGGTGTGCTTTGTTCATCTCATTCTCGCATACCCCCCTGAACCCTAAAGCATATTAGGGTTTAGGGTTCGCGATATGTCTTTGTCGGAGCACGTGGTCAGGTAAACCTCGCTCAGGTTTTTAGGTGTATCATAGTAGAAGTATCTGGGGACTTTAAGGAAGCTTTGTTACCTAGACTCGTAAGAACAGACCTACAGAACCCTTAACACGACCCTTGAAGCAACTAGACCCATCATAAGGCCCTAAACCTGGGTTTGGGGTTTATAGGGTTTCGTTTAGGGTTTATCGCTTAGGGGTTTAGCGGTTTAGGGTTTAGGATATGGAAACGACTACGAACGAACCAAACAGTTTGTAGCACGATGCTGCCTCGGCAACGTCTCCACCTCCTTCGCTTTCGCCCTGCTTTAGGTGCTTCAGTCATAAGGACCCGTAGGGGCGTAGAGGGCCTTAACACCTGTGATTAGGATCTATTAAGGCCTATTTATCCCTAAACCCTAAACCCGAAACCCCTAAACCCGAAACCGTACCCCCCCCCCCCTCCTCCTTACCCCCTCATCAGGGTAGGGGGGGTCCGGGATTAGAGTCGAGGTTGTTGCCAGACGTTTAATGGCCTCTAACTTTATGTAAAAAACTTGGAGGTACAAGCATTTAGAGTGTTTATGTAAAGGGCCAATGCTTGGCAATGCTGCTCCGGTTTCTCCTGTGCTGGGCATCATGAACGATTCTGGGTTTTTGATGTACTTGGTACTAAGACTATCTATCTCGGGCCACATTTATGAGAATTTACATGCCTTTTCGGATTGCACTGGAGGTCTAGGGGTTGCGGGGTTAGGAGTTTTGAGGCTTATAGGGTATTGGGTCCAATTACCGGATTTTGGGCTTGGGTTTCAAGTCTGGGGTGTGGGGTTGGAAATGAGGCAGTATGTAAAAGGTGGCACTTGACATGTCAAGGGTTTGCGTGTTTAGGGCCGGTGTTTGTCTTAAGCATTAAAGGAAACGAATCACTCTGCTCTAACACCCATACTGCGATGACGTTTTTTCAGGAATCATATACCTTGTTCAACTGCAAGACACTGTAATGCTTGCAACCAATCTTAAAAGCGTCGCTCACCCAAACATGAAATCACATCACCATGGGTCTAAAGCGCACGGTTTTCAACATGAATCCATGGTGACCCTTTGGCCAAACTTGCAAGACCCCCGAGTCAATGTTCCGGAAGCCATAGGCTAAGCACTTGTTAAATTGCGGCGTGCCGTGCCTCTCTGCAGGTGACGATTTTGATACTTTCGTCCTTTGCCAGGCAGTGTGTAGGCTCCAAGCAACCACTTAAACGCAAAGATTCCGCATTTGGGCTGGTTGTTAGATCGCTCTCTTTACGCAGCTTGGAGGACCCTATGCAGCGTTGTCTATGGCGTCTGATGATGACTCTGATTTATTTCTTCGTGGGGCTTCGATTAAAGCAGGACGGTGTAGGAAGTCTTGGTGAGGTGCTTCTGAACACATTTTGCGCTGCCAGAAAGGAATCGGCAGACGATCATGCGACTTCATCGCTATGGCTCAGGTTTCCTATGTTGGTACTTTGGGCTCAAGGTACAACGAAATCTTCGAAGTACATGCACCGATAGGGATAGCAATTTGTCGTATTCCGTATTGTATTCTACCAGAGCCCCATGCCGCAAAGGCCACAACCCCAAGCCCAAAACCCACCACACGCTAAACCCTGCGCCTCATCCCTAAACCCTAGATCTTTCGTAGTAGGAGTTAGGGTTTAGTCACGCTAAACCCTAAACACGAAACCTTGGTGTTTAGGGCTTCGGGTTTCGAGTTTTCAGTTTAGGGCTTGGGGTTTAGGGTTGAACCGGCCTTGTCGCTCAGTAAATCTATGTCTGCTGGCGCCTTCGGCTCTGTCCACCTGTTCGAAGCCGATCGGACACACACTAGCGGGGTTTGGGTCAAGGGTTGGCTTCAGGTCTTGGTGTTCAGAATAAGGGTTTAGGGTTTAGGGTTTCAAGTTGAGAAGAATCTGGCGGGCTTTTCTCAGAGACCTACACGGGTTTTGGGGTAAGCATCAGCGCTCTATGAGTCAGGGGAGGCCTCGCCCAGTTTGGGTAATTGCACCACCGTGGCCCAGAACATAACCATAATATCCTAAAACACTTTACCAT